GACAATTTACAAGTTGAAGTTAAACCCAGATTATTGTTTAAACACTTGTTGAAATTTGTAGCAATTTACAAGTTGAGTTAAAACAATATGATAGTTTACAAGTTGAAGTTAAACCGATGTGATATTTAACACTTGTTGAAGTTCTATGTGAATTTACAAGTTGAAGTTAAACCGAGATGATGTTTAATACTTTTGAAATTCTGTGTGAATTTACAAGTTGAAGTTAACCGATGTCATATTTAACACTTGTTGAAATTCTATGTGAATTTACAAGTTGAAATTAAACCGATGTGATATTTAACAATTGTTGAAATTCTGTGTGAATTTACAAGTTGAAATTAAACCGAGATGATATTTAACACTTGTTGAAATTCTGTGTGAATTTACAAGTTGAAGTTAAACCGATGTGATATTTAACACTTGTTGAAATTCTGTGTGAAATTTACAAGTTGAAGTTAAACCGAGATGATGTTTAACACTTGTTGAAATTCTGTGTGAATTTACAAGTTGAAGTTAAACCGATGTCATATTTAACACTTGTTGAAATTTTGTGTGAATTTACAAGTTGAAGTTAAACCGATGTGATATTTAACACTTGTTGAAATTCTGTGTGAATTTACAAGATTGAAGTTAAACCGAGGTCGTATCGAAAGAAGATTGGTTTAAACACTTGCTGAAATTCTATGTGAATTTACAAGTTATAGTTAAACCGAGGTCGTATCGAAAGGAAGATGGTTAAACACTTGTTGAAAATTTTGAGAAAAATTTACAAGCTGAAGTAAGCCGAGGTTATGATAAATGATGATGGTTAAAACACTTGTTGAAATTTTTGAGAAAAATTTACAAGTTAAAGTCAAGCTCAAGCAATATCTGCGTACTTGCCGAGACTACCAGGTTGTCAAAACTTGAAATATGAAAAACTGAAGTCTTGATAGAAGACATTGAGAAAGTGACAAGTCCTAAGCAACACTTGTGAAAATATTTGTTACAATATTTTCAAGTGTTAGGACAAGGTCGAGATGAGCAAGATTAGAAGTTGTGACAGAGGTATTTTACCCGAAGAGATTGCACAGTCAATGTGTACTTTGAAGACATGCAAATTATTCTAAGTGTAAAATCATACAAGAGCAGAAAAAAGAAGACATTCATTGAAGGAAGAAATTAGAGAAATGCATTTAAAGAAAAAAGAAGGCACTTCGGCCTGAATATTGAAAAATAAATTATTTAGACTACAAAAATGGCACGTCGGCCGGATTAAAAGCATACAAAGAAGGACAAAGTACAAGGTACAAGGTACAAGGTACAAGGAGTAAAAGAAGGAAACAAGACTACTCGGCATCAATGACAGGATATAGAAGACAGTTGGGAAGACTTCTCAGCAGCCTTCTCGACCTCGAGCTCAGCATCGATCTCCCCAAGAGTTTGAT